TGGTAATGTATGCCTTGGGTATAGGAGGGGAGAATGGCACCATTGATTAGTAATGTCTGTCTTGGATATAGGAGGGGAGAATGGCACCAATGATTAGTAATGTTTTGGGTATAGGAGGGTATAGTTTCTAGTACATCAAGAAAGAGAGAAAAAGTAATTGTATGGTTCTTATGCTGGGTAGCATCATTTCCATGGGTTCAGGATACATTTGCTCCAGAGTAAACCCGAAAGTTCACTTTTGAACCCGTAAGTTTCCCACTCAGTCTCATTCCCAAGTGCCTCTCTACCACATGGCCACATGATCACAGATGACTCCAATGTTTAAAGAGGGGTATGTTTCATTCATCTAGCTCATCATGTCAACACAATCACTTCATCTGGCATCTAAGCCAAGACCCTCATTTTTTCTAACAGTCAAGGAAAGTATGGCTGTATTCGATTGGTCTCCAATGGAACTTGCACAGGTAACTGACCAGGTGTGATTTTTATGTTACCCGATAACTCTGGAATTAACTTTGCACCTGAGACACAGGTTCCCAGAAATGTCCCCTGCATCACCAAACAGAACCTGCTGGCCTTCCCCTCAGCTCAACACAGCATGGGAAACAGCTCGATCTAGGTCTGAACCTCAGACTGTTTCCCCATTAGCTATGAGACTGTGCAAGCCACGCTCCTCTGAGCCTCAGCTTCCCCACTTGTAAACAAGGGGGTTAGATAGGTCTTCTCACCTTGGACTACTCTGGGGACAGAAAGACACAATGCCGGTGAAATGCTGGGTGCAATGCCAGGTACTTCCTGGTTCCCAAAGATGCTAACTATTATTAAAATAGAATAAAATATTATTCTATTTTATTCTGAATGCTGATAAAATGTACTTTCTGCATCCAGGGAAAGCCCTTTCCAGGAGGCAGTGCCAAAGCAGGGAGGTGGAGGTAAGAAAAAGTGGAACTGACTGGTACCACAGGGCAGTGAGTGGGAAGGGCAGTGAGATGCCATGGGCTGGAGCATTCTGCATTCTGGAGCAGGCAAAGGCCTAAGATTCTGTCCAGAGGCCACATTCCGTCTTGTAAACCTCATTTTCACTCCTCTAGAGGGACGTCACAGCATTTCCATGACAACTGAGAACCAAAGTTGAATGAATATACTGTCAGCTGTCCAGCAAAACCTTAACAGTCCAGAACACACTGCTTAATTTTATAAATAGCCATTACTTTACTAATATTAGTATTATCACTACTATTACTGCTTCTTACTATATTACATTATGACTACTTTATTATTACTAATATTATATTACCACCACTGTCAAAGAAAGTAACTGCTCACTATAGAAAAAAAAAAAGAGTCTAAAGAAAAATGCAAAACCCAGCAATTGAGTTGAACTTTCCATCTACCTTTCTGACATCTCTGCACTCAGAGAAAAGGAGATCTATGAATACAGTTTGCGCGTAATTGGAATCATATAACACAGGCTGTATTTCTCACTCAACAATATGTCATGAGCGTCTTTTCAAGTCAATAGACATAAATCCTCACCATGAAATCCTAGCAGCGGCTTGGAATTGGACTTTATGGATACACACAATTTACTTAAACTATTCCTTATGGAGGGATATTGAGGGCACATCTTTTTTAAAATCATTTTTGCTATTACCATCATCTCCTTAATAAATATACAAACACATCTCACACTTGTGCAATCATCTCCAAGGTGCAAATTCCTGGAATTGTGACTGCTAGATCAAAGACGGAACACATTTTACACTGTGACACATATGAATGGGAGGTGATCTGCCATCCAGAGGTGGCCGGGCCAACATAGGCTGCCTCCAGCAGAGGTCGTGAAAACGACTGCTTCCACCCATGACACATTCCACGTCATGTGGAAGGCAAGGCTGTGAGACTCCAGCCAGAAGGACCCAGCCCAGTAGTCCTGCTACAGTCAGAAGCTGGAGAAGGAGGGGCAAGCAACTGGATCCTCACAGCATGAGTCTCTGCAACCCTAGAAAAAATCCACAGCCTCCAGAGAAGAAACCAGCACGATACCATCATCCCTTCCACTAGAGAGAACACATCCACCTCAGTGAGTGAGGTTGGGGACCAGGAAATACCTGACCCAACCCAAGAGAGCTGAAATCTAGCTGGCACAGGCACTATCCTAAGCAGTGGAGAAATGGAGCCACCTCAGACACCTTTGATCCTATTGTGGGCAATGAGCTTTTCTAACTACTTTCCCTTCAAAAGTGTCTGCACCACCAACATCGAGTCTTTTTGGTCACTTTCCTGCTCGACGCCTCATTTCCCCATCTGCAAAATGGGTTTAGTATCTTTGTTTTCTTTTCATAGACTCGGTGTGACGTTACAAGCATCCTGGACAGAACTGCAAAACATAGTTATTTCAAGATTATGGAGAGTGCAGTGGCCAGCCTCCAAGATGGTCCCATGACCCCTCATCCGGGTATACCCATGCCCTTATGTGGTGTACTTCCACAGTCTCTCGAGGACTGGGTTATATGACTGATCAAATAGAGCAGAGCAGACGGCACAGGACATCTGAGGCCAGGTCATCGGAGGGATGTACAGCGATTCACCACTATCATCATCCCACGTGGCTTCTACTTTGCTCTTACTCTCTCAGATCTCTCACCCTGGGAGACGCCACCCACCATGTCTTGAGGACACTCAAGCAGCTCCATGGCCTCCTGACAATAGCTGTAAGGTGAACCTCCTGGGAAGTGGATCCTCCAGCCCCACTCCAGCCTTCAGAAGACAGCAGCCCCAGCTCACAGGAACCTTGAGCCGGACCACCAAGCAAACCACTCCCAGATTACTGACCTGCAGAAACAGTGAGATACTGAAAGTCTGCTGTTGAAGTCACTAAGTTCAGGGTAATTGTCACGTGCAAGGGACAGCCAGCACGATACTTCCCTGCCTCATGTATCATTTTTCCATCTATCCAAAATGGGAAGAATATTTCCCACACTTGATGTGGAGCCTCAAGACTCCTGCGTGCGCCACTGATGCAGTGGGTCAGAGGGTAAGTCCAGGCTGTGTGACCATGGGCACATTACGTTACTTGAGTTTGGCTTCCCTAAGCCATAAAACCAGGATAGAAACCGCACTCACCTTACGGAGTCATTGAGAAAGAGATCGAACATTCAGTCAACTGAGAAGTAGGAAAAGGAGGCTGGATGTGTGGTTGTCATTTCTCACCAACCCTTCCTCCTCTTCCTCTTCCTCTTGGCATCGCAGGTAAACACTACTTTCAGATGATCCATTAATGAGATTTATTATAAAAAACCCAGCCTGGAAAATTATTTGGGGGCAACAGACAAGCACCAAGCAGTGGGGCCCCAGGATATTCCAGCTCACACCAAGGATCAGCATGGATTGGGGCATCAAGAGGAAGGAACGTTCCAAAATCAGAGCGCACTCACCGCCAAGGCCTGAGGCCCAGGGCCAAGCAGAATTTTTTGTTTTTGTTTTTTTTGAGACAGGGTCTCCCTCTGTTTGCCCAGGCTGGAGTGCAGTGACATAATCATAGCTCACTGCAGCCTCTGCCTCCTGGGCTCAAGCAATCCTCCCACCCCAGCCTCCCGAGTGGTTGAGACTACCGGCGCACACCATCACACTCAGCTCATTTGTTCATTTTTTGTAGCGATGAGGTCTCCCTGTGTTGCCCAGGCTGGTCTCCAACTCCTCGGCTCAAGCGATTCCTCCTACCTTGGCCTCCCAAAGTGCTGGGATTATAGGTGTGAGCCGTTGTGACCGGCCATGAACATCTTTTGATAAAAGAATTTACTCTCAGCCGTTCGCTCACCACCGTCACAATGTCTTACGGGACTTACATCGTTCTTGCCATACCATTTTTCGTCTTTGAGTCAACTCATTTTTTTTTTACTAAAGTTTTTTTTTGTTTTTTGCTTTTTGAGATGGAGTTTTGCTCTTATTGCCCAGGCTGAATACAATGACATGATCTCAGCTTGCTGCAACCTCCGCCTCCCGGGTTCAAGCGATTCTCCTGCCTCAGCCTTCTTAGTAGCTAGAATTACAGGCATGCACCACCATGCACAGCTAATTTTGAATTTTTAGTAGAGATGGGGTTTCTCTGTCTTGGTCAGCCTGGTCTAGAACTCCCGACCTCAGGTGATCTGCCCACCTCGGCCTCCCAAAGTGCCAGAATTAAAGGCATGAGCCACCATGCCCAGCCACTGAAGTATTTTTGAAGTAAATTTCGTACCACTACCATTAACAGAAAACCATTTGTGACGCCTGTAAAGAGACGATCATTATAACACTTCTCTATGTCTTCTACGATGAGTACGAAACAACCGTCTGTGTGTAACTGATGTCATCTCAAGGTCACCAGCAATACACAAACAGGTCACACTTGGGGAATGCACCACACCACGATCACATCACTGAGAGGCTGTGCACACGTGATTTCAGAATTATCTGTGCAGGAAGCTTCCTGGCCACTCAACTCATGGGTGACAGATGAGGGATGCATGGGAATTCACTGCCATCATCCCAAGTTGTGTGCCCCAGTGACTCTAAGCCTGACGCCATGATCCAGGGCCCCAGGGCACTCAGGAAGCATCCCTGTCCCTACCAGGAAGACAACCAAATGAAATTTGACTTCCATCCACTCTCCTAAAACCTGGGGCCCTCACGCCAGGGGGCAGAGGGACCGATCTGCAGCCTCGTCACCGACCACTGTGCCCCAGGTCTGTCCCCCAGTGGACCTGGTCCTTTTTAGAGGGCAGAACACGGCTCTCACACCACGTACCGGAGGCTGGGAATACGGCCCAGGTGCTTCCTAAAAGAAATTGCGCACGTGCTTGGGAAAATGTATTCCCCTCAAACCCAGTTACTTCTCCAGCAAGATTAGTTTCAGGTAAAAACCTTTCCTGGTGATGGATGACAGAGACCAGAGAGGCCGAGAACGATGCAAAAGGAGTTTCAAAATCTCATCTGTTCAGCAAAATGCTTCTACTTACGGAGTCTTGCAGGCTGTTCTTGGCACTGGGGAGGAGGGGTGAGTTTTCAGACTTGTAGTCCTGGCAAAAACAAACAAGTAAAAAGAGAAGGTTAGGAAATCCGGGTTGAGGAAAAAAATTCTAACCTGGAATAACCCAGTTTAGCATGATCCCAGAATGTCTCTCTGCATCTAGCCACAGTACGGCCAACTCCCCAGCCCTCCCCTGCCTGGGTCCACACCTGCACTGCCCAGCGTGGTGGCCACTAGTCCCATGTGGCTACGGAGCCCTGTGGTTAGTCTCATTATACACAATACTCACTGGGCTTTCAGGACACGAGGAAGAAAATGAATATAAAGTATCTCATTAATATTAATATTTCATTAATATTTTTATATCGATTACACATTAGAATCACGTTTAATAATACATAAAAATAAAATATATTGCTATGCTTAAAAATGTAAATATATATTACAACTATCTCAAAGGAAATTTATTATCACAGTTAATTCCGTCAGTTTCTTTTTACTTTTTAATGTGGCTACCAGCAAATAAAATTGCATCCTTGACCCCTGACACCCCGGAGGCAGTGCTGGTCGAGATGTCTCTCAGTGTGGACTCCTCATCCCAGCCTGAGGATGCCAGGGGTCCCCAACCTTCCACCTTCCGCTCCAGCAGCTGTTTGCACCTAGGGAGCACCTGCAAGGCTATGTGCTACTTTTTTTTATTATTATTTATTTTTTTGAGCTAAGCCTCACTCTGTCACTCAGTCTCCTGAGTAGCTGGAAACACAGATGCCCACCACCATGCCTGGATAAGTTTTGATATTTTTAATAAATACAGGATATCACCATGTTGGCCAGGCTGGTCTCGAACTCCTGACCTCAGGTGATCCACCTGCCTTGGCCTCCCAAAGTACTGGGATTACAAGTGTAAGCCACGGCGCTTGGCCACTGTGTGTTTCTTGTACATTTTCACCCTGAATCCTTACTAGGGTATAACCTCAGCCCCATTTTACAAGTGAAGAAGCAACTGAGAGACTGAGGGACTCGACCAAGGGAACACAGCACTCAGCCGGGCTGTGGTGAAGGCTCAGCTTGCACTGAGCATGCCTACTGCAAACACCAGGATGTGAATCACCACGGGAGTATTCCCGAGGCCTTCGTCCACCTTCCCACGAGGTACAGCACAGAAGCACGTTAAGGCTGGTCACCAGCAACTCTGGGGAAATGCTCCTGCCTCAGAAGCATCCGCAATGACTAACACTCCACACTGTCATTAATCAAGAGTCAACAAGGCCGAAGCGGGCAGATCATCTGAGGTCAGGAGTTCGAGTCCAGCCTGGCAAACATGGCGAAACCCCATCTCCACTAAAAATACAAAAATTAGCCAGGTGTCCTATTGGGTGTCTGTAATCCCAGCTACTTGGGAGGCTGAGGCAGGGTGATCGCTTGAACCAGAGAGGCAGAGGTTGCAGTGAGATGAGATCATGCCATTGCACTCCAGCCTAGGTAACAAGATCAAAACTCCATCTCAAAAAAAAAAAAAAAAAAAAAAAAAAAGCAGGCTTTAGCCTGGAGTCACCCCTTAAACCTACTGGGCAGAGAGAGGTGTATGGGTGTGTCTCAAGCAAGACCCTTTCTCAAAAGAGAGATGGTGGGAGAGAGAGGAAAAGAAAGAGGGAAGGAGGAGAGGTGAAGAGAAACTGGGAGAGAGGAGGGAGGAGAAGGAGAGGTAGAGAGAGAGAGAGACAGAGAGATCAAAAGAGAGAAGCAGAGAGGGACAGAAGCTACCTGCTCTTTCCTGTACCAGCCACAAGAATTACTCAGACGAGTTCTGGGATTTCTGTTTCTGTACCTAGTTTCAAAACTTATCCTGAGAACGCACATATTTTATCATTTCTCTTTTTGCAGTTTTCTAGTAGACATTGCTCATGGAAAAATCTGGTGACCAAGAAATCAACATTGCGTTTGTTCCTCTCCTTCCTCTACACGGAGAACTGTCCTCACACCACACCCACCCTCCACTTCCTCGTTCCTGAAGTGAACAAATGAACACAAAGTGTGTCCCCTGCTTCCAGCAACTCCCTGCAGCAGCAGCCTGAGAGGGGAGAGAAGGGGGAGGATGTTGATGCAGAGATTTTGCTGCGAGATACACCAGTTCTCCTCTGAGAGAATGTCCATTGGGTGGAGAATGCCTGGTTTTTGTCACTTCTATTTCAGTCCCACTTTATAGACGGACCAGTAAGAAACTGAACTTCATCAACAAGTTAAGCCCAAGAGCGGATTTCAACCAAGTGACAAGACATGAGTTTTTTTTAGATGTCCTGGGATCCCCATCTACGGCACGGGCCTTTCTCTGAGAGGGGCCTCCCTCCAAGACTCACAGGTGACCCAGCATCTTGCCCACTTCTAACCAGTCTGGGGACACACACCTGCCCAAAGCAGCAAGAATCAATCTGTCTTTCTCAGGAAGGGAGATGGAGACCCATGGAAATGGTGTCTGCATCGTGTTGGACTCCACAAGTCCAAGACTTTGTCTATGAAGCCAGTATTGGCTCCAGAGCAACCACCAGACCTAGGCAAAATTAAGAGTCTTCCAGGGGAAGGTGATTAGAAGAAAAGAGAATAGAGAATCCAGGCAACCAGTATCCCAGAGCCGAGAAAGAGACAACTTAGGACTTACACTCAAGTACAATCTTACTTGGAAACTTAGTTACCGGACGAAATTCCTGTCTGGCTACTGCTGCACAGCCTTCTTCCTCTCTGTCCCTTCCTCACTTCCCAGCCCCCTTCCCCTAGCTAGGGACTTTCCTTCTTGACATCCCTCAGCTGGAGGTCCCAGAGGCCTGGTGTCCTCTTTAGCTGACTATCTCTCATTGTGCCACACTTCCAAGTTATTTTAATCAGAAAGAGTACAGGAAGCCTTCACTCCTAGGAAGTGGTACCAACTCTATCTGCTCTTCTCAAAAGACTTTTTCTGCCCTTCCTGCCACTTTTACACCTCTCCATACCCTAGAACTGGGGATGCACTCTAACCCTAAATTGCCACCCTCTTTTGGATGACACAGTCCCTGTGTTATCCGAACAAGGTAGCCAACTCTATGCCCAATCCCTTGTATCTCTGTTTCCCTCCTTACCTTGAAAACAGAGACAGGCACATGTTAACATTCTAAGTTTGACCAAGCAGGGGAACCAGAGCCAAGAGATGCTTCCAGGGAGGTGGATCAGCCTAGCTGATCACCCCAATGGAAACTCTCGAGGAGGAGAAGATCTGATCTGCGACCGTTCTTAGATCCCAAGCCAGGATCCTGAGCCAGCTGTCACTCTGGTCACTGTCCACAGCTGTTCTCTCCCCCACAAGTCCTGTTCCCTCATTTTCCACCCTTTCGTTAGACATCTAGTAGTCTTCCCTGGAAACCTCTTGTGCCTCAGTTCACAGCTTTCAAAATCTGGGACATGAATCCCCAGCAACAAGGATTTAGCCAGTTTAGACAATGACCCATGCAGAGGTCCCAGATGGGCCTTCAGACATCATTCTCTCCAGACTTGTCATGGGCTGGTGTCAGCTCCCAGGGGTGGCATTACAAGATAATATTCTTTGTATAACAATTACCTGTAAAAAGCCTCTTCCTGATTGGAAATGACTTTGGGGGACACTTTTTTTTTTTTGAGACAGAGTCTTGCTCTGATGCCCAGGCTGGAATGCAGTGGCACAATCTCAGCTCACCACAACCTCCGTCTCCCAGGTTCAAGCAATTCTCCTGTCTCAGCCTCCCAAGCACCTGGTATTACAGGTGCCCACCAGCATGTCAGGCTAATGTTTTGTATTTTTAGTAGACACGGGGTTTTACCATGTTGGCCAGGCTGGTCTTGAACTCCTGTTCTCAAGTGATCCACCCACCTCAACCTCCCAAAGTGCTATGATTACAGACATGAGCCACCATGTTCAGCCACGCTTTTTTGTGTATATAAATCCTTACACACACATGTAAAAGAAAAATAGATCCCAGGGGCCCCCATATCACTAAACTAAAGGGAAAAGTCCAGCTGAGAACTGCTTAGGGCCAACATGCCTCCCATTCTCATTAAAGTCACCCCTTTGTGCAGTGAGATAGATGCGTATCTGATTGTCTCTTTTAGAGAGGCTAATCAGAAACTCAGAAGAACGTAACCATTTGTCTCCCAGCTATCTCTGACCTGGAAGCCCCCTCTCTGTGTCTTCCCACCTTTGCTTCAGGTTGTCCCACCTTTCCAGACCAAACCAATGTTCACCTTGCATGTGTCAATTGATGTCTCACATCCCTCTAGAATGTATAAAACCCAACTGTGCTCTGACCTTGGTCTGATGTCGTCAGGACATCCTGAGGCTGTGTCACAGGTGTGTGTCCTCAACCTTGAAAAAATAAACTTTCTAAATTAACTGAGACCTGTCTCAGATTTTCAGGGTTCATAGACATATCCATGTAATCTTGTGTTTATGTGCCTACCTGTGAATAGCCACATCCAGATATATCGATCTTTATATCATATTTCATATAAAGGAATAGGAGGTGGAAAAAAATAAACAGCCCATCCTACAGGTTAACAGAGGACCAAATCAAAGCTTCAGGAGCAATGGACAGAAGGGGTGGGGTCAGGGGTGGGGTTCTGGGTACATGATGAGTTCCCAGTGATGGCACCAGTAAAACCTACATGGACCAGGATGGTGGGAAGTGCCAAGGCCATGGCTGATCAGAGCCTCCCGAGCAAGAGTCAGAAGGTGTGGGGCCGAGATGGGGGTGGTGCATCATGGGCTCCCAGCATGAAGCAGGGAGACCGACAAGGACCAAGGCTGTATAAAACAAATGGGGTCAGTAGCTCTGTTACAGGAAAGGGGTCCCAATCCAGACCCCAAAAGACTGTTCTTGGATCTCCCACAAGAAAGAGTTCAGGGAGACTTGACAGTGCAAAGCAAAAACAAGTTTACTAGGAAAGTAAAGGAACAAAAGAACGGCCACTCCAAAGACAGAGCAGTCCCAAGGGCTCCTGGTTGCCCATTTTTCTGATTTCTTGATGATATGCTAAACGAGGGGTGGA